GAGCATTTTCAGGGCTCAAACAAATCAGCTACTTCGGTAATGTGTGGTGTTTCCCTAGATCTAGTTATCTAGAAAAGAAATTAAGGGGCGTGCTTTGGTGGCGCAGTAGTTAGTGCACGCGACCCATGTGTGGAGGCCTTAGTCCTCAACGCTGAATCTGGCCTGTGGTCCTTTCCTGCAGCAGATTTTTCCACACTTTTTTGGCAATTATTTCTCAAGAATTTTAAAAAGAAAGGAAGATTGGATATAGGTCTATAATTCACCAAGTTAACAGGGTTAATAGATGGTTTCTTAAAGGAGACGTCCGGTCAGCAAGCAATGATTATTTATACCTAAAACTAGTACATTTACTTTGATTTAATTAATTTAGCGTTAATCATTAAAAATCATGATCACTGAGTCTGGGAGCGGCCATTTTTGCCCAAATATAGTAACCCCTCCCTCCTGCCATCTTCCAGCAGTGACATCACGGTGCGGTAAGCCTAGCGCCATTCTCCCCGCTTTACAAGCAAAATCAATGGGAACTACTAGACACATCTGCAATTAGTTCTTTGACAAACATGGATGTCTCCAGTAAAGTACATTGAAATGAAATTAGTCTTAATTAAAAACACTTATCATTTATGGAACAGTATGTAATAATTTCATATTTAAAGTACTTTCAGAAATTTGAAGTCTGAATATGACCAGACTTTTCCTTTAAATATTCTGTAAAATGTTATCTATTCAAAATATATTTCTGTCCAGGGGCTGCAGGTTTACGTTCCTTGGATGTTTTTTTTTTTATGAAAACCTTGTTGGCCTGATTCAGGAGCATCGGAGTCCTGGCCTACATAATGCTGACGGGAATCTCTCCATTCCTGGGTGACGACAAACAGGAGACGTTTCTCAACATCTCTCGGCTGAATGTGAGCTACAATGCTGAGGAGCTGCAGCAGCTGGACCGCGCCGCCCTGTCGTTCATCCAGATGCTGCTGCGCAGACGGCCTCAGTAAGTCCCGCCCTGCTCTGTGTCCTCATAGCTCAGCTCCTCCTTTACGGCTGAAACACCAACACAATGGTGCACACGTGGGAAAATGATGGTTTACACCGCATCCTCTAAAATCGTGAAGTAATCAGAGTCTCATGAACCCTTTATAGACTTTAATGAATTCTTTGTGGGTTTTTTATTAGTTTTTGCTCATTTTAAAGAACCTGGAAATGGTTCAACATACAAAAAGATATATGTACATGTATGTGTACATCACATACATGATAGAGGCAGGAAGAGGTAGAAAAAGGAAGAAATAGGTATGAAAAGGAAGAAAAGTAGAAAGAGGATGAAAGAAGGAGGTATGAAGATGAAGAAAGAGGAAGAAGTTTGTCCCGCCCTGCTCTGTGTCCTCATAGCTCAGCTCCTCCTTTATGGCTGCAACACCAACACAATGTTGCATACTTGAGAAAATGCTGGTTTACGCCGTATCTTCTAACATCGTATAGTGATCAGTCTCATGAGCCCTTTATGGACTTTAACTAGCCTGACAAACCAGACTAAATGTGAGATTAAATATGTAATATAGTCTGGCCCTGATGAATGAGACATTGGAAGATAGTTGATGAGAACAACCCCTTGTTTTATCAAACCGTGTATTGGCCAACACTCTGACCAATGAGCGCAACTGACTGTGACGTAGGAAGCGCGACAGGAAGCTGGTGGAGGAGTTTAAACAAAAAGCCTGTCTGTAAAACGGCGAATACGTCCTTCTTAAAAATGAATGAGGGTAGAGACTCTTCCTGCTCACGTTTCAACGAAAAACCCCAAGGCTAATCCTTCCAAAAATGATTCCAAATCCGAGTCAAAAATCTCCAGAGCCCCACACGACTATGCTGAGAAAGGGCCGCTGCAGATGGGCTGCAGTTAGCCCTGGCTGCTGTTAGCCTCGGAGCTCCACTGGTTGCTGCGGTCCTCTGAACTTGGGAAAATGTTTTTTAAACTACGCATTAAATTGGTAAATGGACCATATAGTGATGCTTTAGAGTATAATATTATCGCCTCAAATGATCTTTAAACGTACTTTTATTAGACAACAGCAACAAAAAGAGAACTTTTAACTTTCAATGGAGTGCTCCATTGAAAGCTTTACTAAATGCTCTATATATATATATGCCGATCGGTCCTTTTCCTGTAACAGATCTAAAGTGCTATCAGCATGACCTTTTCCTACTGGAACAGGACGGCAGCACCCAGAGACTGTGTTGAAAAGCTGCAAAGGAGGGAACTTCTAGGTTCTTTACTGAAATAGAAATAAAAAAAGGGCATAAACTGAAACTTCACTAAGTAAATGTTTTATATTAGCAGCACATTTACACAGGTTGGGTCTATAAGGAATATTTTGCACACTGGACCTTTAGATGTAGATTTTAGTCCACTATAAAGAGAAGTTCAGCTGTTTTTTGGGTTCATGACTCATAGTCCTCCCTCACAGTCTTTATTTGGTCTATAACAGCCAGATGTTTATAATATACAGTAGCAGCCATTCAAAACACCCCTTCCTAGCCCAACGGCAGCGAATGGCAGCTGAATTGCAGGCACCTTCCTTCAAAAATCACCTCCAACTTCCAGCCCCTGGAGTGACCCCTCTTCTTTCATATTTTTTATTTGACTCCACCCTTTCACTGAATTACAGGGTCTGACCAGGGGATGATGCTTCTCTTTAGATCTTAATGTCCACAAATGTTGACAGTAGGAATATTTTAGCACAAAGATTGAGTTTTACAAAGGAATTGTAGGGGACCAGCCAAGGACCCTTCAAGGAAAGTGAGGACGTTTTCAATGGCTGCTACTGTATGTGCCACATCTGTATCCTCCTCAGTCATCATGGGACCCCTGTCTCTGACGTCTCCTTGCTCTCCAGACCATTTGCGCCGGCTGCAGACCACAGCATGACCGCTGTATGGCTATGGAAGATTTTTCCTGCCAAAAAGCAAGAGCACCCATTTTCAATTGAAGAGCTGGATTTCCTCTACTTGCACTGAAAACTTGTAATGGTCGCATTCAAAACCTCTGCTTTCTCTCGAATCTATTCGCTTCTCCATTAAATCTATTTCTGCTCTCTGATCTGATGGCAGTAGTGTTGTTTGACAAACATCGATGCCTTCAGTAAAGCACATTAAAATGAAAATTACTAAAACACTTATTTATTAAACAGTATGTAATAATTTCATATTTAAAATACTTTGAGAAGTTTGAATTTTTAATATGACAAGACTTTTTCTTTAAAGGGGCTAACTCCAGACACAGAGCTTCTAGATTCTAATTCGTTCCATGCAGCAGCTCTGACTAATGTGTGTCTATCTCCAGAGAGCGGGCCACGGCAGAGCAGTGCCTCACACACCCCTGGCTTCAGAGGACTGGGCCCCCGATGGAGGAAAAACCAGAGAGGTCCAGCATCAGCAGCCGGGCGCCTGGCCGCAGCACAGATGAAGATCCAGAGGAAGGAGGGGCGGTGACTGAGGAGCTGATTGTCATGGCGGCCTACACCTTAGGTCAGTGCCGCCAGTCATCCAGCTCGTCCTCTGAAGAGGCGGTGGAGCAGAAGGCCATCACCTCTAAACGCTTCAAGTTTGAGGAGCCATTCAGCGTCCTGCAGGAGGTCCCTGGAGAATTCATCTACTGACCAGAAACCTTTTTATTAAACCAAGATTTTATCTGAATCTTTTATTTAACTTGCTCGATTTAAGTGACTTTTTATTGGTTCCCTTCCTCATATTTTTTCCCAATAATGCACCAGAAGACGACCAATCAGCGAACAGGACGTCCAGAACAAAGGCTTCAGATTGGACGTGTTTGTTCCCAGTGGTGCTGCAGGTTCTGGAGATGCTAAAGGAGGTTTTCGTTAAAATCCAGTTTAGTTACAGACGACCTAAGAGGAACAGGAAACTTATTTTAAAGTCACTAAACTGTCAGCAAAAACATGGCAGCCTGATGGGAGCAGACCATCGTTCTGATCTGCCCAGTTACTAAAATCCAGCTTGTGTTTATTATCTAATCAAACCCGTTAAATTAGTTTTTTATGTTAAACTTAGCTGTTAAATAAAAAAATTTTTAGTCTCAGCTTAACAGAACCAAGCTTAACCGCTAAGGCAGCATACCTGAAAGGCTTTGTTTCTGCTGTAAGCAAAGAGGACGGTTTGTTAAAGGAAGGTTGAATAAAAAGAAGTGAAAAACATCTTGACCTAAAAAAGGGGTTCTAGATTCACTTTTCTTTTTTCTAAGGTTTTATTTCAATTTTTTTCCCCTCTAAGTTTTGTTTTCAAAAAGGTTTTATGGCTGTTATTTTTTTTTTTTTTTTCAAATTTCTCCTTTTTTTTAGATTCTAAGGATCTTAAGGTTCACATTCTGTTCACTTTAAGCAAAAATCAAACATTTGCTTTTAGTGAACATTAAAAATGTCTTTGCTGATGTCTATGAAAAGCTTCTTGGCTCCACTGTTCAGAGGAGAACACAACACGAGCCGTACTTCTGAAAAAGAGAAATAAAACTACATTATATCACATTTGAAAAAAAAAAAACGTGAGGAAAGTGGCAAGTTAACCTAATTTCTGGCTTTTTTTTTTCCATTTTTTTTTAACCTCCATTTAAAGGAAAAGTCTGGTCATATTCAGAATTCAAACTTCTGACAGTACTTAAGGTATGAAATTATTTATCTTTCAATAAATGATAAGCATTTTTAATTGAGAGTAATTTCATTTGAATGTGCTTTACTGGAGGCATCCATGTTTGTCAAAGAACACTACTGCCACCTACTGGTTCGTGACGTCACGACGGTGCGGTATCGGCTGTTGATCAAGTCCCAGTGCTGTATCTGGTGTTTGTCACAACGCGCTATTATCCAAGTCATCTTGAAAACATTCTTCTTCCAAATGTTGGCTACATATTACGGGTTTTTTCTCTGGCCAGAAGTTCGATGGCAAATCCTTCCTCTTCAAGTTGGCAATCCAACGATGAACCCGTCCGTGGAGGATCAGGAATCAGAAAGGTGTAATATTTTTCAGTTTTACCCGATGTATTCCAACATCCAGCTGCCATGCACGTGAGCATTGTCAGTTTCACTATAGCTCTGGTGAATTTCAATGGTGAAGTCCTCTGGAAATCTTCAATAATTGTTGTTGATTGCAGATATGTCTAGTAGTTCCCATTGATTTAGCTTGGAAAGCGGGGAGAATGGCGCTAGGCTAACCGCACCGTGACGTCACTGCTGGAAGATGGCAGGAGGGAGGGGTTACTATATTTGGGCAAAAATGGCCGCTCCCAGACTTAGTGATCGTGACCAAAACTATTGTTTGTTTTTTTTTTTTACTGATTATCGCTAAATTCATTAAATCACTGCAAATGTATTAGTTTTAGATATAAATAATGATTCAATGATTATTCCTTCCTGACTGAACTTTTCCTTTAAAAACATGTTGTTTGCAACAATAATGGATGTAAATTCCCTCCATCCATGCTGAGGCCGGCCACCAGCTGCCTTTACATGCTGGCTGTGTCCCGCTGAGGGGGGGAAGCAAAGATTTCCTGCACCCAGTGGACCCTCAGCTGTGTTCACCCAGCAGGTCACGCGTTGATGGCAGTGCTGACCATGCCCACTCCTATCACTCCTTTATCAGCTCAGAAACTTTTGTATTCTATTTTTTGTTCTGTCTCTCTTGAGCTCTGCTTTCTCTTGGTGTTTAAGACATGTCTCTGTTTTTCTCTTTAATTTATCTGTTTATATGGAAACACCTTTGTACCTGAAAAGTTTCTTGTTGTAAATAAATGTTTCAAAGTTATCAATAGTCGTTTATGTTTGTAAACACCAGAGCAGCAAATATGACAGTTTAGCTTAAAGAATGAAGGTATTATGCTGCAAAGGAGATGGGGAAATGTATTCTAGCAGTACTACATCTATATCAACTCATTACACATCAGTGATTGATGGATTCATGATGGATTTGCAATGACCTCTAGCTACCACTAGAGGGCAGAAGCAGACTTGTTAGCAGGGGTCACCAACTTTTTAAGGCTTCTGTCTACTTCATGGTACTCAGTCAGGAAGGGCCACCAACACTGACCCATGAACTGCAAGGGTGAGCGTTCACCTAAAGTTCTTGCATTATAGACATATTTTTATTGCTTCTTTTAATTTCTTATTATATTGTCATTTTGAAATGCTCTATAAATGATTAAAAGAAGAGCAACAGAATAAAATACAATTCCAAACTTAAGCCAATGTCCTGTCTTCAGAAGAATCTGAGGGCACCATGTTGGTGACCCCTGCTTTATAGGAAACCATTTCTGGCAGCAGGGTCGACATCAATGAAAGAAAGAATAGATTCCCTTAGAAAATATTATATTAAAAAATTATTAAAGTCAGTTCAGATATGAATAAACAGAATGATTTGATAGCAAACGTTTCCACGTTACAGTTTATTACCCTGTTTGCAACACTGAACAGTGTTCTTAAATGTTCTTTTGATTTAGATCAAAAATATAATCAAGTTTTTATTTAAACTAAAGTGCTCATTCTTTAAAACCACACGTTAACACATCCACCATCATTTATTCCGATAAAAGCAAAATGCAAGCAGGGCTAGTGGAAGGAGCAGCTACTCAGGGCCCCCAAGGCAGCTATGGCCCCCTAGAGCAAATTAAAGTTGCTGTTTTTGTTTTTACTTGCATGTGTTATTGTTTTTTTTTTTTTTACTACAGTTACAGAAACACATATACCCCATTTAAACTACCCTTGAAAAACCGTGCCAAAACCGGTCCGAGCTCAGCAACTGAGATAACTTATCGTGTGTAAATGGAAAGCAAACTGAACTGAACCGAGATAGACACAAACAAACCGAGCTAACTGCAGACCAGTTCCAGAGGTGGGCTCGGCTTGGTTTTTCCCTGGCTCTGTTCTCTGATAACAAGAGCACATGAGCAGAACGTCTGGCTGCACATCCTGATTCACACTCCATTCCAGTAGTTGGCGCTAAAGCCCCTCCAGAAACAGAAGAAGAAGAACGACTTCTTCAACTATTAACAACAATCGAAATCTTCTCCACGCAACATTTTAAATAATGGCATTTTAAATAATAACACTGAAGTACAGCAATAATAATCAAGAATAACTTTCTGAATGTGACAGGTGTAGTGTTATGTCGAGTCAAGGATGTCACCGGTATTGCATTTGAACGTCTTTAATGTTGAACATAACACCAACACATTCTCGGGTTGCTGAACAGTGTGTTTTCGGCTCTAACGTCTCTACTGCATAAATCACTTCCTGGTTCTAGAACTCCAATGCAACCTTACACATAAAATAGTTCCATTACATTACATCAGCCTTTCTTTGAGTCTTTTAAGACAAATTAACAGTCGGTTATCTCTCTCTCTCTTTTTTTTTTAAACAGCATGAAATTCCAAACACAGGTCTTTCTTCTTCAAACATCCAATGATTTTCCTTTTATATTAGCCTTAGCTGAAGTAAAATATTTAACTCAAGCCCAACAGAACCTTCTCAGAATAAACCTCAAACTTATGGCTGTAATTGCATAAGTCAAAATAGCTGAATAACTTCTTCAGTTGGTGTAATCAGAGTATCTTTTAGGTAATTTAACAACCCTGCCACTGGAAGTCGTACGAACTGGAGTCCCAGGTAAGCTAAGAAGAACCGGGTCCGGAGAGTCACACCCTGGTTCTACAGGTGAGGAAGATGGGTGTAGCTCATTTTCACTCTGAACCTGTGGCAGTCCATCTGTTGCAGGAATAGGTGGGTTACTGAGGATGGGTCTCAGGTGTCGGCGGTTCCTCCTCAAGACTCCTGACTCAGTCTGGACAAGGTATGATCGAGGTGAATCACACTTTTGTAGAACAGTAGCTGGTTCTGTCCATCCCTTTTTAATGTCCAGTTTCACTGAAACATTGTGTCCTGGTTGGAGTTCTGGTAGTGGTTTGGCACTATGTCTGCTGTTGTAGTTTCTCACATAGTTTTCTTTTGTCTTCGCATCAGTTGACCTGACGAGCTGTAGATCCGGCCATGCAGGCTGCAACTTTGTTTCCAAGATCGGTATCGTGGTTCTGATCTGTCTACCTAGCATAAGTTGGGCTGGGCTCACACCAGTTGCTTGAATGGGAGTTGATCTGTAAATCATCAGGGCCAAAAATGGATCAGTCTGTCTCAGAATCCTTTTTGCCGTCTGGACAGCCCTCTCGGCCTCACCGTTTGCCTGTTGGTAGTGAGGACTTGTGGTAATATGCTTCATGTCATAGTCCTTCACAAACTGTTCAAAGAGTCTTCCTGAGAATTGAGGACCATTGTCGGTAACCAGTTCATTTGGACAACCCCATCTTGCACAAATGTTTTTCAGGTTAGCAACTGTGGTCTCACTTGACATGTTTTTGAGGTGGGCTAACTCAATATAACGGGAGAAGTAGTCGACTACAACTAAGTAGTTCTGTTTGTTAAGCTCATAAATGTCTGCAGCTATCCTCTCCCATGGCCGACTGTGGTAGTGTGGTAGTAAGCAATGGTTCTCTCCGCTGAGTTGGTTTTGACTCTTGGCAGTGTGCACAAGCAGTAACCATTTGTCTTATCTCACTGCTTAATCCTGGCCACCAAACACTACATTTGGCTCTTTCTCTGCATTTCACAATGCCTTGATGTGCATCATGAATGCGCTGCAGAATCTCAGGTCTTAGCTGTTGTGGTATAACAATTCTGTCATTATACAGAAGCAGGCCTTTTGACATGGTGATAGAATGTCTGTTAGCATAATATGGCTTCACACCTTCTGGCATTTTATTTGAGTTTTTAGGCCAACCTGCCTGCAAAAAGGTTTGCACTGTTTGAAGGGTCAGATCCTGCTGTGTGTGTTGTTTGATTAAATCCAGTTTAGTAGGAGAAATAGGCCAAGGGCATTGTGTTACATCTTCATATGCTTCCATTTCCTCCAGCAGTTCTGCTATTTCATAAGATGTGGACGCCTGTGGGTGGCGTGAAAGGGTATCTGCTACCAAAAGTTCTTTCCCTGGCATGTACACAGCTGTGGGGTTGTACCGCATCATTCTCAGCAAAAGTCTCTGACATCTAAGCGGCACTGAATGAAGATCTTTGCTGTTTATGAGATGTATCAGTGGCTTGCGGTCGCTCTGCAAGGTGAAAGAGTTCAGGCCATAAAGGTATCTGCTGAATTTCTCACATGCCCAGACTGCTGCAAGACATTCCTTTTCAATTTGAGCATATCGCTGCTCGGCATCGGTGAGTGTTCTGGAACAAAAGCTCACTGGTTTTAATTGTCCATTATGGTCTTTAAGTAAACCCCCCCCCAAACCTGAACTGCTAGCGTCTGCGCTGACAACAGTCGGTTGGGGTACATCATAGAATGCGAGGACTGGTGACTTTGTAACAAGTTTTTTTACTTTACTTAATGCCTCTGCTTGAGCGGTGTCCCAAGTCCAAGTCACATCACTTTTAAGCAGGTCATTGAGAGGTTTTGTGACCTCAGAAAGATTTGGTAGGTATC